CTGCTGTTTCTTGACTATACAAGGAGTCTTCATATTCATACTTTATTTGTTTATTGCATGCATTTACTGTTAACTTCGCGAGTATTCTTAAATAATTGAGTACAATCCGATTGAGTGGCAGCCTTGTATGATCTATTTTACGGACCTCATTAACTGGAAAAAAAATATTATTAATTAAATTTATTGGTGTATTCAGCTTTATCTTGCCTCTATTGTTGGACAATTACTGGCCTTGTTTTCTCCACCTCTTTTGTGTATAGAAGTTTATATATTATAAGGGTTTATGTAAATAAGGTAATAAGCATTGTCTTCTATTAGTTTATTAAGAAATCAAAACACTCACCAAATCCAGGTGGTTCAAGCATAAGAACGGAATGTAAAAGCCAAGAGTCATTACAGAGTCGACTATTGGTATATTTTGACTCATCTTGCAAGCATTCTATAAGAGCAACAAATGGAAAACGCCTGTTGATGTCATTGGCCAGAGCAGGTATTATAAACATTTCCACAGGTTCCGGATAAGGATTGCATAAAAACGCTGACGCAAATTCTGTCATAATTAAGTCACTGAAATTTAAACCAAAAATGAGAATATAGATAAAAATATAGTTAGCACTCACAATTTTAGATTTAAATTATTGCAAAGTAATAGTGAATGTAGATTTTAAAAACTTACTTATATTCAGGTAAGGTAACTCTACTTGTCAGACATAAGGGCCTTTGTATCAAATCATATAATGCTCCACAAAGTGGTGTTGGTGGATTTGCTGAAGGACCATAGAGAGGTGGTGTTTTCCTACATATAAGGTGACAGAGCTCCATGAAGTATCCTGAAACATGTAAAGGATTCAAACTGTATTATGTCTGGAGCATAGAAAAAAAATTTTAGAATTTAATATCATTACCTCTTTTAACGAGAAAGAGAAACATGCGCCCAACTACATTCATGGCATTTTCTTGGCTCATCATTGTACTAACTGAGTTCACAGAGGTAAATACTTCAAACATTCGAAGGGGTACAGCCAATGGTACCTAAAATACATTATCATAAAAGTTCACTTTCTCTGCTTCTGTGCTATTTTGGGGAATTTATAGAAGTATTGCAAACTTATCCAACTTGGGTCAAATACATAATATATTTACAAAACACAACAATTATTATCTAATATAATGTATTTTATTTTACCAACCTCTGAATCCATTCTTAACAACCTTAAATGCAATTCCAATAATCGCCTTAATTGTATTGAGGAAGTATCACTAATGAATATATTTTGCCATTGTTTTAACAAAATTTGAGACATAGAAACCTAAAAGATACATACAGTTAATATTATTACAATAAATAATATTAATAAATAAGTGCTTTAACATACATACCAATCTTTTGCTATCGATTTTGTGATCATAAAAAAATAATAATTTTGCAACAAGGACTGACTGCATGGATTGGTCAAGATTAGCTACTTGAGAAAAAAGATTATCAAAACTCTGTCTTTCAATTTGTTTACAACGTTTTCTTGTTAGATAACTTCGCACATAAGCTTGGATTTTAATTGTACTATTAAGTCTTTTTCTGTGTTCCTGTAATAAATAAATACATAATAGCCAGCAAACCATAAAACATTATTATATTAAATATTCCATACATTTAGATTATAGTGCCTAGAAATAGTTTACCTCTCGTTTTTGTCTCTGTAATTGCGACTGGTGTATGAGACCGTCTCTATCAGTCTTACTCTGTGCACTAGCTCCAGCTAGGTTCTGCTGGGGCTTTCGTCTAAAATCTCCCTCGAATGAATACATGACTGAACTTCTTAGTATTAAAACAATTAACTACACAGTGAAAACTGCTAGCAGAGTTTTTGAGAAAACACTTTAAGCGCTTAGGAAAAAATTGGGAAATTCGTTTAAAATCTTTAGTCCATTGTGTTTACATGCAAATTTTTTTAGAAAGGATAAGGCGCATCAACACGGTGGTTTAGAAAATCTAATAAATAATATTAATTTTTATAAAGAATCTTTAAAGATAAGTCCAAATAAAACCGCAAGATTCATATTTTACACAATACACAGTGATTATTATTTTTTTGGCACACCAAAACTCGAATTTTCATGTTTCGCTCAAAAGTCAAAAGATAAGAGTCATCAGTCACATAGAATTTGTGATTATTGACATAAGTGACAAATGCAGTCTACTTTCAATCAAAGTAAATAATATATGACAACTCGTGTAACGTTAAGTTGTTGAATTTTTAGGCTATGCTTTAAATTCTGGCGAAAATCGAAGATCTTTGATTTTTACAAACGGTATTCCCATCCTAGCAACAAATCTACAATATTCAGGCAAAAATACCCCTCTAGCAAGTATTGAAACTATAAACTAATAAAAGAAAGTGTATACTACTACGGCTTGAAAGTATTAAGAATTTCGCGACAGAAATGTTGTCATGTTACTACACTCTGCGTTATCATTATATTTGTTTCTCCGGAATATTGTGGAGTTCCAAATAAAAATATTATTTTCGTCACAATAATAATATATTCTGTGCTGGAATATTTATAAATATGAATACTTTGTATTGTTATGATTATGAAAACAGCAATAATCTATAAGTTACTATTTTCAAACTACCAAACTAAAAAACGAAGCTTAATGAATTTAAATAATTTTTGAGATAATAAGAATTTTAACTTATTCATCTAGCCTTAACCTAGCCCTAAATAAAAAAAATCCGTTAGACTGTGCTAGATAATTTAATATAACGAATATTTAATATTTTTTAATTTCATTTAATGTTTTCATGTAAGGCAAAAAAATACCTTATATAATAATGAAACATATTACAGTTTTGTTTTCTACTGATAAACAGTAGAAAACAAAATAAATAATGTCTGTAGAAATATCTATAGAGTATTCAATGAAATTTAATTTTGTGTAGTTTAAGGGAGATGCGTCACTCGGAAACTAAATACATTACTACATATTATATGTAGTATGTAAGCAATATAGAAAGTTTATAATACTTTTTTGCCGGAAGAGATAATCGATTTTTCATATAAATTGGAAAAAATATAATGCCTGAGAGTTTATACAAAACCAACTCGCCTTTATTTTACGTGAGCGGGAAAAACAACGTGGCCATTATGCGAATAAATGTAATTGTTATTTGCTATGGTTACACATCACGTTAACAAAATTATGTACTTTTAATTCTTTCATATTTAGTACTTATCGAGGTGATAACTGTCAAGCTAATTAAGTGAGGGCCAGCGGTGGATTCCAAAAAAAAACCAAAATATATTAATATTACTTTAATTAATTACTTTTACAAATAATGAACTTAACTAAATACAATTATTTAATCGGCCCGATATTAGGTGCACGATAAATATATTATATAATAAACTTAACTACTTGAGACTTGACCGGTCCGATATGAGGTATCCGATCAAAAAAAGCTCCCAGTTCTCTTGTCCCTTTCCTTATATATAGCGTAGTTTCGTAAGAGGTGACTTGTATTGGGTATGCGGGGCAAAGGGAGTGCAATGAATATGTAACAAGCTATAATGACCTAAGATTATTGTCAACATAACAAAATAGGTACAAAATAGTACAGCAGCGACCTCAAACCCACGACGCGTGACTGTTCTCTTTAGGCAAAGACTCTAACAATAAATTAAACCAAATTGTGGCAAGAAATCTGGCACTTGTAAATTGTAATTTCTAAGGCTGATTCTAGTCCATCTTAAGATGGTGGTATTATAGAAATAGACTAGACTTGTAGTCTGATGTAATATGTTGATTGTCGGTGCAAAGAAGACAGTTGGCTTAGTTTTGAAATTAAATTACATGATTAGTTATATAATTTAGACTATGCATCTGTCAAAAGACTAAACTTTTAAATTTTTCGTTCGCTTTTTTTTCTTCTTTTTTTCTCAATAAGTTGGACTATCGACTTGATGAATAATTAGTTTTCACTATTGACTGAATTTAAAAAACTAAGGAGTAGGATTACAATTCGGTGCCGAGTCGATAAAAAGTAATATTTTTGAAGTTATACTTCTTTTGGCGCGTTAGGGAAAAATTATAAGAGTAAATTTTTTCAAACGTAGAATAGGTAAGGCGAAAGATACAATTTTTGAAAATATTTTTATCTTGTCACGCCAAAGAAATATAACTTCTAACGCGTGTACATAATTACACTCACTTTTTTTGAAGTTATACTTCTTTAGGTGCGTTATGAAAAATTGATGAGAGTGAAATTTTACGATGCGCGCGCACCGTGACACAAAATTAACAGAATGAAGTTGCCCACTAAATCATTCATTAAGTTGAGCAAAAAATGCTACCAACAAAACAGAAATGGAACCTCTGTTCGTGGCGCATGTCAACGCACGCCGCCTCTGTTCACTGTGTATTTATATTTATAATTTTTATCCACATGCTTTGAGTTTCTACATTTAAATCACGTGTTTTAATTTTGTTTTCATTATACAAGTGCGAATTTTATATGTGCGTCTGATTTATAATCAGAAGTGATTTAAATTGAATATTTAAATCAATACTAATTAATATTAGAAAATACTTGTGCAAAAAACTGTGCTCATCAACCTTCCTAAGTGCTTCAATACAATTGAGGTTAACTATCCGTATGTATTATTAATAATGCCAAAGAAGTATAACTTCTTACGCGCGTACATAAGTACACGCACCCTTTTTTTAAATACGCGATTATGTTTAATTTTTAACCGATTAAACAAAATCAAAGGAGTTTTTTTATAGTGGTATACTTGGGGTAATATTTACGTTTAAGATGGTCACACCGGACCCAGGGTAGGGACTAGTGAGTACTGAGTAGTGACTCAACTTGATCACGTGATCATATTGGCTAAGCTTGGGTATACATATTACAGGTTGTGAGGCGAAGTGTACGTTTGTCTTCTTAAAACAAGCCAACTGTGTCTATTTTGATATTTGTTACTGAAAAAATATCAAAATGTCGACTAAATCAAAAAAGACAGTATCATCGTCTTCAAACATAAGTGTTGTGTCGTCAGTGCAAAGCCCTCAACAATCAAGCACTCCTGTTGGTAGCCGCCCTTCTAGTTCAGCCGGCCGGCCACACAGCCCTCTAAGCCCTACAAGACATAGTCGTTTACAAGAGAAGGAAAACTTACAAAACCTAAATGACCGCCTTGCAGCTTACATTGATAAAGTACGCCAGCTTGAGAGTGAAAACTCAGGATTGCGTCGCGAAATACAAACAACCCAGGAGGTGGTCACACGCGAGGTTTCCAACATTAAAGGAATGTATGAACATGAACTTCAAGATGCTCGAAAACTTTTAGATGATACTTCTCGAGAAAAGGCTAAGTTGGAGATTGATTTGAAGAGATTGATAGAGGAAAACGACGATCTCAGTAAACGGTACGTTTGACTAAACTATCTTCTTAAAGTGTTTATTACTGTTTAATAGACGTCTAAAGATTTTCATGCTAGTATTTTCGTATATAGGTTACCTATTTTTATAGGTAATATCTTCCGGATAACCTTAGCATAGTTTACGTCATCGGCGGCATTTCAATTCGGGCACGCTATATGAACGCGGCCGACCTCGCCTTTACGACACAGTGACATCATCTCGATATAACAATCCAATTATAGTGTTGTCCCTATCAATTTGCTTCTTTGAAACCTACTTCAGATTACAATCATTGTTTGTAAACAAATATGCTAAGATAGCTTAATTGCAAAATTTGTTGCCTCCAAATACTAAATAACTAAAAATAGTTTAAGTACTATTTTAGTTTAAAAAATAAGTAAACCCTAGCCCTAGCTAAGTGTGCTTCCCAATAGACCGCGTTTCACTTAGTATTAAGTCAGATTGCAGCCAAATGTGTGTCCTGTTTTATATATGTACTTATAAAATTTAGCCTATTATATATACATGTTGCAACTATGTTGAGGCAGAAATTTAAACATCTTAAATTATATGAAAATAATCCCATATTGCCCTAAACTGTTGAAATAATAATTTACTCTCAAGAATATATGAGTGTGTAAGTACAAGTGTGACTTGCGCTTGAGGTCAAGTACTCATAATATCCCAGCTGTGCAATAGATTCTGCTATGTGCATGATTAACTCTTGCTTGTACAGTGAAGGAAAACATAAAAAAAACCAGCATGTCTTAGTCCAAAAAACCTACATGTGAAAGGCACAGAGAAGGATGATTACAATTGACATTTTATTTTTAATTACACAATTTCATTACAATTATTTTAAAATTAAATTGTTATACTAAAAAGGTTTTTTGTTAGTGTTTAAAGTTTTATTTTGAAAACTGAAGTATTTATTATTTTAGGCATTAATGTATTTAAAATAACCATTATAATATTGATATTAGTTTGTGACTTTACCTTGCAAGAAGGTTGCTGACCATGAGGTCTATGTCACTACAGCTCTGACCTTACACCCACTGCATTATAATAATCATATGGTTATATGAAAACCACACACTTCACTACCAATTAATTATCTATACCATTCTTATGTGCATTTAATAAGATTAGATAATCATAAAACTTAGGTTTAAATTAACTTAAGCGTCATGTGTTAATTTAATATTTTGTGTTTTTAACACTTTAATATGTGTAAAGTAATTAGCTTTAACTATATTAGGGCAGGTTTTTAATTAAAAAGGGGCTCGGATTTTTTTTATTGGAGTATCTTATTATATTTCTGGAATTATCTCCCACATAGATTGACCTCGTTTACTTATTTAATAGCATATCGTTTTATTTTTAACAAATGTCAAATCATAAAACCTACTGCGATGCCGCCTGTACTATACTATTGTCCTTGTGTAGTCTTGCAAGACCTACTTTTAATTTTAACGTAATATCAAATTATAAAAATTATTAGCCTTGGCCCCTCAGTCTCAAATCATGTTTGTTTATATTATACCTACCAATGACATCTTTACCTTGTACGAATGTTTTACTATTTACCGTAAAAATGCCTCAGTATTCTTACGTAATCGCTGTAAATAGCGTGTGTCGTCATTGATCAAACTGTGTCCCTCGATCTTTTTACTAAGCTTTGTTGTGCATATCAATAAAGCTCAAAATCGTAAAAAATAACGTGGATAAAGCGTGACGTAACCAAGTAAAATTTTTATTTATTTTTGGTGCTGACGTTATGTTTTCTATTATTATTGTATAAATTTGTATCCAAGGGCGCCGAAATTATTGCTTATATTAAAAGTATTCATGAATACCAAAGGAACAGAACGTCATCATAAGTGCCATAATTATTGATATAATCCAAAACCTTTAAAGTAACTATATGTATAAGTATTTTATTTACTGTGAAATATATTAGGTAAACCTTATCAAATAATTGTCTCGAGTTACGGCAAAGATTAATAAAATTCAATTAAACATGCTTCGCGACCACAAACAAATGAATTCTTTAAAATTCCACGAAGTGAAACACATACCTATCTATCTTATGTGATAACAATTTATTACTTCCGTTATAATGCATTCTTGGTAGGCAAGCAATATAGTATTTTAAAAATACTTATTTACTGTAAACATTTCAGTTTGGATAAAAAAACAAAAGACTGGCAGCAGGCAGACAATTTAGCGCGTCATTTCGAGAACCGTTTCACTGAAGAAAGCAACAAGTACAACACCGCCCTCGCTGATAAGAAGAAAGCTCAAGATGAGGCCAGAGTATGTATATTTGTATACCTACAGAAATTAATGCATATTTCAAAACGCAAATAGACAAATATGAATAGCGTAAAATTATTAATCAAATGGTCTCTAGGAATGTGCTATTTTTTTATACATACTAACTAATGTTTAATGTCAAATTATTTTCTTACTCTTACTCATTTCCCATTACAAAGGTAGTGGAAAAAAAAGTAAACAAGAACTGTGTCTTCCCATTAATATAGACTGTAAGTAGTGTTATTGGACACTTATGTTAAATACCCTTTGAGTAAATTAGATTAGTTTTAAATTACTTATTAGTGTAGTAATAATGATGTTTTTCTGTAGAGACAATTTTTTATTTAAAAAACTCTTACCCATTTCCCATAACAGAAATCTTAAAGAAACATTCCAAAAGAAACCTCGTCTTGTGAAAACATAACTGTGTTTTAAATGTTGAAAAATGATGTATTTATATTATTTACAGGATCTGGCAAAGGAGTTGGACAAACTACGCAAAGTATACGCGGAGACACGCAAGACCCTTGAAGAAGAGATGCTTTGCCGAATTGATATGGAGAATACAGTACAGAGTCTGCGTGAAGAACTCTCTTTCAAAGATCAGGTGTTCCAACAAGAGCTGCAAGAGACTCGAACTCGGAGACAGGTCGAGATCACTGAAATTGGTAAGTAATGCATTTCTCAAGTATTGAAATTGTTTTACTTAATATTTCAGTATTTCCATATCAAGATTCAAAGATGTTGGGTTTGATGTCTTTTGCGCAATTTTGATTTTATTAACACCCATCACAAGAGGAACTAATACATTAATATTCAGTAAATAATAGTCTCCAAAGTAACAGCATTTATTTATACAGGAGGGTTCGATAAGGCATGTAATTTTTTTTTGTACGAATGACTATATGTAAACTTATTGTGTTTCTCTGATTTCGAAACCTGAATTTACTCTCAGAGTTATCAACTGGCGACAGGTGGTATGGTGGTCATTATTCTATGTTTTAATATTATATGTATTTCCTTCAGATGGGCGTCTTGCTCAACAGTATGAAGCGAAACTCCAACAGAGTCTCCAAGAGTTGCGCGAGCAACAAGAGGCCAACATGAAAGCCAATCGTGATGAAATTGAAGCTCTCTATGAGAATAAGGTAATAATTTAATGTTCATATTTTTAATTAAGTTAACATCGGTATTTATCTATTTAGCTTATCTTATCTTTTTCAATGTTGTGCCTTCTTCCTGAAATGCGCATTTCAAAACCTTATTTGAAACTATTGATTACTATTTTTCTTATCATCAAAATGTTATCATTAGATAAATTGTTTTGAAATTTTATAAATACCTGGGTTTATCATTACAAAATTCTTAACACACTGCAATCAATCGCCACCAAGACAATTTTTCATACGAAGACTTTAGATTCGGTTAAAATAACGTTCAAAACTTACTAAAGATATGCTATTTATGTTAGGGGAATAACTTGGGCCATCCTCAGAGTTTAAAAAATATAAATACAATTTTAAATTTCAATGATAGACTTTAGTACATTAATTGCGGAGTTGTACTGGCAAATATATAGGCAAATTAAGATGAACTTGCCAATGTTTTTTCATTATAAAAAATATTGTGATGAACGAATAAAAATGGGCAAATATCAAGACGTCAAATTTTGCACATCATAAACCACTACTTCAAATTTAAAAGTACATAAAAGCAAACAATACATACATTCAAATCTTAGGTAACGATATTTTTTATACTTAGATAGAGAAGCAATCTATATCTAGTATTTAACGAAATTGTCAAAAAGTGTAGTAAGACTAGATTTTTTTATAGATGAAGAATCTCCAAGCGGCGGCCAATCGCAATAGCAGCGCTGCGACTGTCGCTGTTGAGGAGCTCCGTACGATGCGCACACGTATCGACAGTCTCAACAACACTCTTAACGACTTGGAGAACAAGAATGCCGCTCTTAGTGTAAGTACATACTTAAAATACTGCTTTTACGATAAAATATTTTATGAAGAATAATTATTCAAAATGCAACTATGTGTTTTTGTATGTTGAATATGACATGGGACCTTTTGATGCCGGACTCTACATTCTGTTACTTCTATATCTTGTAATATAGTCAATATTGTGGGCATTATATGTTATGTTAGTATTTACTATACTTGTATTATTACATTTTCTGTTGTATTAACAAATGCTGCTATAAGAAACAAAAAACCTTGCAAAATAGATAAGGTTTTCAGAACTGCCTTGATTACCGAAGGTCGAAACGAAATAATTATAATTGCGTCAAATAACGATAAAAACATCACCACAATTTTCTTTATCAGCTGGTTGTACAAGGTCTACTTAAACTGGTTTCGATACATTACATTTAACTTGTATGTCACCTGTTGAATTATTTTGATAAGTAAGAAAAACTATATATATGTGTACTCATATGCCTGCGTCTGCACAATTTTTTCCTTGTGCACTTATTATAACGGACTAATGTTTTTCTGTAATTCGAACAATTTTTTTAAATTCCTGCCTAACTGAAAGGAGTAACTTATTAAAATTATATTTCATTATTACTCGGTTAAATTATAATTATATATGTTATAAATATCTATGCATATTTTTAATATAAATAACTAACTAATAGTTCTTATATATTTGTTTTACAGAACCGTTGCCGTGAACTAGAGCGTCAACTGGAGTCTGAACGGGCTCGTCACGCTGAAGATCTGGCTTCATTAGAGCAAGAGCTGGCTCGACTTCGCGATGAAATGGCGGCCCAACTGCGGGAGTACGCCACTCTTATGGACATTAAGATCTCGCTGGACCATGAGATTGCCACCTACCGCGCCCTTCTTGAGGGTGAAGAGGACAGGTATTTATGAGTTATTATGGTTTAGAATTCTAATTAGCTAAGGTGTATTAAGTCAGCTTAGATACTCTACAATTTTTAAATAATTTATGATACATTTATTTTAATTTAGTTGTAATGTAGTATTAATGATGTTTTGAGCACACCCTGGATATGCATAATATATAATACTTAAGGCTTCAACTGTTTGTTATTACGATGAAATAAAACCTTTTGCGTTTTCAAGGTGTTATTGCCAATATTGTAAAAGAAGTTACGAATACTTACTCCTTTTTTCACAAAACTAAACACTTAGTTTTTATTATAAGAAAAATAAGCAAATTAAATCGGATATAATAAAGAGTTATTAATTATTTTAGGTTGAACCTGACATCCCAGTCGCCAGGTCGCGAATCTCGTGCCTCCATGAGCGCAAGCGCAAGCGTTAGCGGGAGCGGACGCATCACTCCGGGACGACGTGCCACGCCCCTTCGCGCCGCTCGTAAGCGCACTCTGCTCGATGAGAGCGAGGAAAGGAGCCTTCAGGACTTCAGCGTTACCTCCAGTGCTAAGGGAGACCTGGAAGTCGCCGAAGCCTGCCCCGAAGGTAGCTTTGTCAAGATTCGGAACAAGGGAAAGAAGGTATAGTCTGGAATATATAAATTTGTTTGAAGACATGTCTACATTCTAATATAAACGAAATCTGTATATTGACCAATTTTCTATTTTTTATTGAAATAATGGTATTTATTTGAGTTGAAAAATAATATTAGTGGCAATAAAAAATAATCATCTCACAAAACAAACACAAAATTAAAGTTTTAATTATGGAAATTTCTTTCAAATTTATTATAATACAATATATATTAGTTCAAAACTAACTTTTGAAAGGTGCTGTTGTTTATGAATTATACAAATCTATTCACAGGAACTAAGCCTCGGTGGCTACCAAATTGTGCGTAAAGCCGGTGACCAAGAGACCCTATTCAAGTTCCACCGTACCGTGAAGTTGGAGCCTGGTGCAATCACCACCGTTTGGTCTGCAGACGTTGGCGCTGACCACGAGCCACCCAAGGACATTGTTATGAAGGGACAGAAGTGGTTCGTCGCTGATACATTCACCACCGTGTTGCTCAATTCTGAACAAGAGGTGAGAAACTTATTTAATTATTCATTTATTCACAACTGTGTACACTTATGAATGTCCATTTAAGAACTAGTTGTACACTGCTTCACCGTCGTTGATTCTACTAGTCTTCCACAGTGGACTTCATTCTTCAATTATACACAAAAATGTTAAATTCGATCAAAGAAACTGAACTCTCAAATGGTTTTAAAATGCTCTCCACTGGTATTGCTTGTAAAGTTAATTGCTTTATATTGATGAAAGACTTTAAAATCGGTTTATTTGTTTAAGTGTTTATCTGTTACAAAGTAATCAATCAATTCATTCAATGCATTTTTCCTATGTAAATAAACACTACGTAAAGTAGATATTATTAGGAGACCAGCGTTCGATTAATCCACATAACTGATCATCTGTGGCATTACAGTTTAGTTTAATCTGTATATGTTAGGAACCTGGTAGAGACTCCAAGTAACGATCGTAATACTTGATACGTGATTGTGAGAAGATGCTGATAGTTTCTATATGCAACTAAATTTATTTATAAAAAATAGACTATATATGTTATTAATATCCACAGGAGATAGCCGTGTCCGAGAGACAGCGGCGGCAAATAAGCACAAGCGCGCAAAGACACCGTGAGCTCGCACATAAGTTTCCCCGACGTGAAGGAGTAAGTAATAATAATCTTCAGCTAAATACCTCACAACGTACATTATAACAGAAGTGTGGGCCTAGGCTTTCAACCTCGAAGTCGTGCGAAATCACGGCTGTGTACCAACGGCCACTGTTCATGAGTGATAGTGTCCAACGAAAGTAATGAAAAATAGGAATAAAAAAGAAAAACACGCGTATTCTAGAGACGATGTTGACCAATCACAATCGAAACGTTAAATATTAATGACAAAAATATTTAATTCATGGCCTTCTAAAGCTAATGTAAATTGTATATTACATAACAATTATTAAAAATATATACCCAAGAAACACATTTAGAAAAATTTATAAACAAAAAACATTAACAATACAAACAGGTATACCTATTTTGATATGGAGGTGTGTTGGTGTCGCGTGCTGGTTATTGTTATTAAAAATTATTTTTTTATTTACAGTTGGGTGAAATTCGTGAGGGTGAAGAGAATTGCCGTATAATGTAAACAGCCATGCGCAAATAATTATTACATTAGGTGCCTCATCATTAGATATTAAACTTGTGTGTTAATAGAACTGCCATAAGTCAGAAGGTCAATGAATTTAATTCAATATTTACAAAGCTTCGGAAGCTTTTTGGTCCGAATGTGCTCATTATCTTAGAAGTTTCCTAAATCTTGGCTTAAAATACTGAAAAAGAAAATAAAAAAAATATTCCTACTTTCTCCCTCCGCCTCTTACTTCGTCACTTTATTTATAATATGATAAGCAACTATTAAGCCGAAATTTGGATGGAATATCACCCAAGCTTTGTGAGTGATGGAAAATTTAATGGTGTTCTATTTCCACAAGTGACGTGACATGCCACGATAGTTGGTTTCACAAGTTTTTCATTGCTTTGTAGACACAATATGCCTTATTTCATATGAATATAAATTTTTCTGCAATTTATTAAACCACCTATCGTGCAGTTATCGTGCCTTATTAACAATCAAAGCTGACTAAATAATACATCACTTGGTTTAACTTTCCACTTATATTATTGAGACGCAAGCGTGCACTGCCATACATACTTGCTTCCACACATTCAGTGAACAAAGTACAAAGTTGTAGTTCACATAGCGAGGCAATCCGTAGATGTAATCTACTAAATTAATATTACATTGAATAGATTATTTTTTTAGTATTAAGTCTAACGTGACCGTTTCATAGGTTGTCAATTTAGATTATAAGTATTTCACGTTATTAATATTTTTATATAACAGAAAACAGGTGCAAGTCGCAAATTAAGAAAATATACAAAATTTGAAGGTCTCTGTGGGGTGTGGTTTAACTTTTCAAAAATAATTAATGTACTGTAAGAATATGTTAAGAAATTACGTACTTTCATTTTTAAGTTAAGAGGACAGAATCTTATTGTGTTATATTGAATCATTGGCTAACAAGATTTCATTGAAAAAAAATTGTGTAATGTGCAAATTACTTTAAATTACTATAAAAATAAATATATATTTAGTTTTAATCAATTGTGAGTTTTATTCAATATTGACAATTATTATGGTTATTATTATGTAAGAAATTGGTATTCAAACCAAAATCAGACTGTTCCGTGCCCTAGTATTTTCTGTATGGAGCAGAAACGTGGATAATCGTAGCGCGTGATGAAGGCAAAGGATTTTAAATTTGGTGGAGGTAAATCTCAAGAATAGCCTGGACCGTGAAACGAATGAATTAATATTCTATGTTGCAAAAGTCTAAAATTATTATCTTTAATAATTTATTATAAAAATGAATCCAAAAAAAAGTACACCAATTTTGTTTTTTTTTTACTATCGTACAAAATGTTTTATAACGCCACAATTATTCTAGTTTCATTAACGACCAAATATGCACATTGATATGTAAAAACAAGTATAAGAAATAATTATTTTCCCTGTTCACTTGAATACATATTATACTCTGTATATTGCAGTCTCATTTCTGTAATTATGATCAACTACGTTGTAGTTTATAGGAGGTCATGGTGCGATAAAATGTTATTGAATTTAGGAACCAACTCATCTCAACTGGATTTTTTTAGGAAAGCATATTTTTTTTTGGATTTAGAAAAGCTCATGGTAGGCCCCAGATCTACAGTTATTTCAGTAGTAATAGTGATTGCTCTGTGATCTTAACTTATTATGTTAAATGTCAGCTGCTGAGTGCTGTTGTCTAACGTCAGTTGCCATTAATTTGCGTCTGTGATTGTGGTCTGTGACATCAGCTAACTAGGACATTAAAATTAATTTAGGATTTATTTAATTTATTCTATCAATATTCATACAATTGTATGCGTTAACCTTCCTGGTCTAGTCTGGGTTCATTAGTTAGTAGTAAACTTAAAAAGTTTATCACACGGTACATAAATAATCTGTAAAAGTTCTATTAGCATAAAGCATTTTAATTCCCTCTAGAAAAATTACCAAAATATGTAGATATTTCTACATACTTAAACCAAGTAAGTTAATTGATGGTGAAACTTACTATTATTACTTGTTATTTATAAAAATCAGTAATGAAGTTTTTTAGTTTAGTTTGATAGTACTAGTTGAATTTTTACAAATTATAAAACATTAATTCGCAATTAACCTTTTGATTTTTTTACAGAATTATGCCTGGTTATTAAGAGATTATGATACTAAGTAATATTGATAAAACGTGATAAGATACTGAATTTATTAGCTAAGATGTAAGCCACTAGCATTTTAATTGAGATGAAATTTTGGGCATTAGCAAACCTAATATTTTAATGACTACTAAACCTTACTTCTATAACTTGTATAGTTTAAATAATTCACAATAATATTGGAACTTTTCAAACATATTTTATTTCAAAAAAGTGCATAATAGCAGATGTAGCATAAATAAATTATATGCCTTTGTAAATTACTGACTCCTTAAGTAATTAAAATGTGTTTCATCTTAAGCTATTTTTATTTTTAGAATAAATTTAGATTTGAATTACTTGATTTCATTTTCTTTGTTTTATTAGTTCCACTATAAATCACAGTATGTGAGTCTACATAGGTCTAATCTAATTCCTAATATAAAAAATTATTTGTACCATTGATATTATTATATCTAAGAATAATTTTAAAATACCAATCATATCTTTATCATTTATATATGTATTTACATTTTACAACTGAACATTTTAGCATTAACGCAAAATATTAAAATAAATGTAAAATAATACTAATATTTTAAAGTTCCGACCCACTTATAATTTATAAACTGAAGGCTAATTCCGTATTAATCAGGCGCTGTTTTCCCGCCTTGACCCATGTGGGCTTTACGGCGCAATAGGTCACAGCAGAAACGCGAGGGGTATGTTTGGACGGGCGTAGTAGCGTAATGACGTCAGTGACGCGCAGTATCGACCCTTTCCAGCCGTCACAACACCCCTGTCCCCCGCAGCTAACAATTCCCAACCGCCTTAGGTACAATTTTTACATTTACGTAAAATTAGTACAAGCGCAAAAGAGTTTCTGTGGTATTAAATTCTAGACATAAAAGTATAGTGATTTTTTCAAATTAAAGTAGGGGAGAGAGATATCCTAGAGTTCTTCACATTTCAAACAAACATTACCCCTACGTATATTAAAGAACAACAACACGATGTTAGTAAATATTGACACACAACGTGTGTTTGCTTGATATTATGGTCTAAAATGTGCTCTATCACTGTCAATGCGAGGCTACAAATCATGGGTACACCAAAGTCAACAGCAGCCGTGTAGCAAATACGACGACTATACCTTGGGGCCGAAATTTCCTCGATTATCACAAAAAAAAAGAATTTGACTCGCTTTGTTACCTTGGTCTCGTACAAACGCTAATATGTAATTTTGCTTTAATGTTACTATGTACCTTTGATAGCCTAGGCCTACTGTTTTTAGCCAAAAAGCGTAAAAGTACCAATATAAATTATCTTATTATGTATAAGTAATTGTAATTAAACCATTTCAGGTTCATTAGCCATACAATAATAACTAACAAAGTTACACGGGCAATAATCATAAATTAAATAAATAACCCATACCCATGGAAAATTTAAAGCAATTTAAAAAGATTCCTATATATGTAGTGGAAGAACATAACGATGCCTTACAATTTGTATATTCCGCTATTGGTGGCAAAAAGTTGCCGTTAGAAGGAAACACATTATTGCATTTGGATGCTCATCCAGATATGCTTATAGATCGCAAATTAAAAGGGGAGGAAGCAAGAGGAGGGAGGAAAGTTTTGCAATTATTACAGATAGAAAATTGGATTGTACCAGCGGCTGCCGCGGGGCATATAAACCGCGTTGTATGGATCAGACCACCGTGGGCGAACCAATTTAGCGATGGATCACGACTAATTCATGTTGGAGACCACCCCGCCACGGGCTTTCTCCGAGTAGATAGTAAAGAACCCTATTATTTATCGGATGCTCTATATTCGTCACAGCTTGTGAACAAAAGAAAGTTTATGTTAACTGTCGCAGAACTGAGCAGTCGTATGGATTCTAATGTGCATAATTTATGTAATCAGCTTGATATCCACAACCCATTTGTACTAGATATTGATCTGGATTTTTTCAGTACAGCTAATCCTTTCTTGGCTCTTTATAGCAATATAGGTCTGTATGATTTGTTAGAAGATTTATTTCATTTTGATGTACCTGAAAACGACGATATAGAAAGTATTGAAAAGACGGTTAATTTGCGAGAAATACAATTACTAGAATTAGAAGATTTATTTATGTGTATGGAAGAAAATGGAAATTTGGAGAATTACACAGGAAATAAAGGCTTATATTATGAAAAGGTAAATGATCTAAATACATAATTTTAGACGTCTGTTGCAGAACACTAAATACGGTATTGCATTAGTTAAAATAATTAATTTTAGGCGCTTAACAAAACAGGATAACACAGTTTAATAAAAATTGCCGAGTACAACGGGTTGTGGTTTATTTATTTATTTAGGAAACAAAACAGATACATCTCTATAAAATAAAACATAAAATAAACACTTTTTTTTTAAATCATTTAATCATATAGGTAACATAATTTACACTTATGACTCGTCAGTACATATTAATGCATCTAATTTAACATTTACTGCCAGTTCTCAAATCAAGGGCGTAGAACGGGAGAGAAGAACTGGCAATAAACTCTCCGCCACTCTTTTTAATCGCCATTTTTTTGTTTTACAAAATGTTTCTAAGGAGCTGCAACCATTACTCCATGTCCCATGTGACATTTTAAGTAATTAATAATAATAACATAAATTAAAAACAAAGAGTTGTCTATCAGCAGGAGGCATGGTGAAATAGGAGCACGCACTTACATTCTCGTGGGAACAACACGCAAACACATAGTCGAAATAACCAACATCACCGCATACACGAATTCAAGTACGACCAGTCACCACAAGCAGCACCCGTTCACGAGCATGACGCATGGCCAGCCATCGGCCCCCTCGCCATATTTTAGGGAGAGAGACAACCCGACGCATGGACGCCGCCACAAGCAATGACATTTAAGCGAGCATGACAATCCTTGAAATGTGAACTTATCTAACTTATACATTAGATCCTTAAAGAGTTTCATTGGAAAAAATAAGATACAAAGCAAAGCAAAACAAGGTTCTTAACTTTAGTAATGTTTTAGGTTTCAGCGTTGGTTCCAATTGTAGAGGAGGAAGCAAAACGCCTTGGGGAGCGTCCGGACTGGTGGGCTGTGTTCGCTAGTGGGTGTACAAGAGATCAGGGTGGGCTGCCTCATCATATCAGCTCTGAAGAATTAATTAAGGGCACCATTGAAATGTGTCTCAAACCATTTTTACAAGGCTTACCACCCCCTATTTTGATTACAATAGCTAGATCTACAGATGACGGCTATTGTCCTCCACATCAGGTTAGTCAAAATCTTAACAAAAATGTTATCATTAGCTCCCCAATTTTACTACCTTTTTGAAGTTATACTTCTTTTGGCGCGTTAGGGAAAAGTGATGAGAGTAAGATGCGCGTAGATGCGCGTGATGAGAGTAGAGAGTTTTTACGATGCGCGCGAACACTGTCGCAAAAAACCGACAAGAAGTTAGCTATAGTCAACATTTTGGTATTTTTTAAAATTCTTTATACAACTATTGATGCTGTATTTGTACGATATTAAGACAATGTTTCTACAAGAATATTTCTATTATACTTTAGCTATCATGAGCCCCTTGTAACTCACATGTCTACTTAACTTAAACCAATGGACGTGAATTAAATAGTAAATATCAATATGTATAAGTTGCATGCTAAAATAAAAATGACCATTTCTTTAATTATGTAGGAATATTATTTTTGTGATATTTAAATATAGGATAATACGTTATAATAAAACTTTCAATGTATTAAATACCTTTTTTCTATTGTTGGTGTCGTTTTTTCTACAAACGTAGAATAAATTTTTTGAAAAGATTTTTATCTTGGTACGCCAAAGAAGTATAACTTCCAACGCGTGTACATAAGTTCACACACTTTTTTTTAGAAATATCACAATTTAACAATACTTGTTTTGTGTTTAAAATAACATTTCAATTCTATTAATCTATGGTTATATATTTTAATGATTATTCGCTTTATATTGGAAATATTTCTGCCCGCAGGTTGAGTTTATACAATCTCAGGTTCTTCGCGCTCTAAAGGAAATATATGTAACAGACGAACCCATTTTACATTATTTAGATAAGATCAAGGAATAAAGATTAAGGTAAATGTCCTTCGTTCTTTCTTTCGTCTTTCTGCGCTTTCAAGGATCTTTTACAAATTAATATTTATTCTTTTCTCATATTTATGCTCATTGTCTCGACTCTTACAGTTTTTATGAAACAAAACGATGCTATATACAATATGCTACTCATAGAGAATTTTGAACTGGTTTGTACTAGATATTTGTGTAGAGAAATATACTTTGTGTTGAGTATTTTGGCTTTTATTCTAACCCGGAAAGGTTTAAATGGGCAGACGATATAAAGATAATAGGAGGCACAACTTGGACAAGAAGAGAACATCAGAAAATAATGGAAGCAGCTGGAAGAAGCCTATGTGTCACAGAACATGCCGATTACCAAAAAATAACTTAAATAGATGTTAATATATCATACTGGGTGTCAGCAATAAAGGCTTAATGATAATAATAATAGTTATTATTATAACACAATAATTACTACTACACAAATAAAGGCAAATTACTAATACTGTCTTATACATATACTAAAACTTTGTTCGCTGCGAAACGTCGCGCTAGTGGCGTCACCATGGCGGTGCAGTTCAATTTTTGTGCCAAATGCATTCCCATAACTCTCCTGTAATGTGCTAAATGAACGCAGTTAAGACATTACGGGTTTGTGACTGGGGCCGCATATCACATAACCAAGCAACACCGATTGGGTAAAATGTAACTTTATTATGATAAACATTTCTATAATTCCACTTCGAATGCAAGGGTTTTTTATAGATAGGTAAAAGTACGCCAAACTGCACGAGTGAAGTAGTGTGTACAAATAATGCGAAAAACATTGGGCCACAATCGTGGAATTAGTCACTTCACGGTGGAGTTGAAAAACTGGAAAAATTATTCCTAAAATCTTTGCGCTGCGTAAACGATTAAAGATATGAAAAAATCATGAACAATCGAATTAACCCTCTTTAAAACGTCCACGATAGCATGTCTATCTTCTAAAGTCCTCACAATAACATTATAAAATAATTCAGTATTTGCAAACGTGTTTTTATAAACCTGATCTTAGTGCTTATTTCAAGTATATTATCCTCAATTGATTTTAATGAATACCTTTGAAGTTATATTTAAAATTACTAAATAATCAACAAAATAACGTTCAGGTGTCACGCGCTCATTTATTATTTGCCAGACGGACTCGGATTACGCTAAATTAACCACTGGGTTCAGATACGAGTACTATACAGTCAAAGAGAGAATAGGGATTGGTTTTGTTTATCAAATAAAGATGTGTTTGTATTGTGTAATTAAGGCGGTGTGTGTTATGTTGTAGCCGTTTAAATAAACGCAATTTATAAATAGAAACATGCTTTTTCCGACTGGCGCCCAGTGCTGTGACTTTAATGCAGCGTCACCTAGAAGTTAACCAAGCTAATAAAATTATGTAACAAGTGTAAAAAAGTAGTTCTAAACGATATAGTGTTTAAAAAATACTGAAGATATCACTCTTTTCAACAAACTAATTATATTGAAAAATTCTATTTCAATAATTGAAAAAGAAAATAGAATTTACGTAACGCTAAACGCAAATTTTACATTCAAAAAATCGGCAACGATCTGCATTAAAATATTCATTGCGGCTCAAGAACTCAACACGTTGTTCCTGTGATTTTCATACGTAATCTTTATCGTAAATTATTATTTAATTATTTGTACTTAATCTACACTAATATTATAAAGTGGGAATATTCATTTATTAAATGGAAGGTGCTCGCTTTTCTGCTCATAGGCTATGGAACATCACGCAACTTCTAAAACACCGTGGGTAAAAGCGTGGACGCTGCTAGTAAAATGTTATAGTTATATAACAGTGCTTTTTTATTACTAGTGCTTTTCAAAAGGAGCCCTAAAATTGGGTGATTTTGTGGTGGCAACACTTTTACAATTTGAAATGTAAGGCAATATCGTTGTGTCCAGGTAATAAGTGCATCGCCGCTAGCCAATACTAACTAAATTAAAACTATGGCAGCGTCTGTGAAGAATTGAAAATTCGAAATATAATCACGTTCCCCGTCCAACAAAGTCTATGTCGCGGTTTAAAGTGCGCTTTGCTGCTTCGCAGCTCGCGTAGCCGCACCGCGAGCCAATACTTAACCATGTTAAAATTGTGACAATAATCAATATCCCCAATGTTAAACACACGCAAGTTTAAGAGTCCTTACATTCCGAAGAAAGTGTTTTCGCAATCGTCAAAATCCGTATTATGTAGAGGTAATAGGTGCGCTTCCCTGCTTTGCACCTCCCATGGCATACCACGAACTATTACCATGTCATGTCTTTGACGGCTACACCTGAATGTAATTTGGTCGAACGCCTAAGTATAACCACTTTCAAGGGCAGTTAGGTTAGGGTAGGTTAGGTCTGATAATAGAGAAACCCTTGGACTTTTACCAACAGAATCTCCATCTCTGTGGATCCTTCACCAATGGGGAAATCAGTTTGGGCGGCTGCGGGGCGCTGGGGGTAAAATGGAGTCAAAATTTCATACTATCAATTGCACACAACTCTTACCAATACATCAAAAGTCCACCACTTCGACTTCCCTAGGGTTTCATGTTTTTTTTCCCGGATATGATGGCACTCACTCTCCGAAATGTTCCGATCATGAATGAGCGAGTGAGTGAGAGCTACGCGACGCGGTTCGACTTACGGTCTCTGACTACCTGAATTTTTTTTTATAGAACAGGGTAAACGGGCAGGAGACTCACCTGATGTTAAGTGATACATGAAGGACCCTAAGGCCTCCTACGCACTGGCGACCATGGTCGCCGCGACCTAGCCGCGGCGGCCAGTGAATTCTGGACTTTATATGGCAATCGCTATAGCCCCTACGCACTTAGCGGCCAGCGACCAGCGGCCACCGTTGGCCGCGGCGTCCAATTTGATGCCACGCGACCAGCGACCAATCGTGGCCGTCGAGAACATCACTTCTGTATTAAAATTCATCAGTGCTACCGCATCGGCCGCGGCGACCAGACGTGTAGCTAGCTACAGAGTGATTATTTTACAATGGCCAATTTCGACACGGAAAGGTTCATAATTGAAGTTGAAAATAGAAGAGGTTTATGGGATTTAGCATCAAATGATTACTCCAATAAAGATGTTAAGCGGCAGTTGTGGCTTGAAGTGGTCGATATATTTGGCGGTGAATCCATGGAAGATAAAGAAAAGGCAGAACTTGGTTAGTATTTTATTTTATTATGCCTAAGTAAATTAATAATGCGATGAACTACAATAAACGCAGCAGGTGCTGTAGTAGCATTCGACACGTATATGTGACATGAGTGATTTTTTTTAAAGTTGTTCCGTTCATTCAAAATCTAAGAAATTTTAGCAAATAGGTAATTGTCAAAAGTATAACTATTTTATTTCTACTATTTTTCGCTTTGCACATGAGTTTTGACAATTATTTGCTAAAATTTCCCAGGTTTTCGTAATGATTGGAATAACTTTTTAAAAAGATTACTCATACCGCATGTGCGTTCGACGCCATTTTGTTTACGGCGCGCAATGGCGGCTCGCGGCGAGCACCCATATATTTACAAATTGTGCCAGGGCAAGCGACCATCGGTACTGAAGTAGTTTGCGAATATATCTCGATATTCGGTTGATGTTCTATTTGCTCTATTAGGTAAACATGCAGGTATTTCTAATAAAGCCTCTGGTACAGTTAACGTGTCCTTGAAATCATATCCGTCTCTTTCTCGCACAAAATTATGAAGCACACATAGAGCTTTTATAATCACAACTGCAAATTCTTTCTTGACGTTTAGGGGTCGGTGAAGAATCTGCCATTTATTGGCTAATATTCCAAATGTACATTCAATATAGCGGCGGGCACGGGATAGTCGATAATTAAAATTAGTCTTTACATTATTCAAGTTTCTCCCAGCATACGGTCGCATCATATGTTCCGATAGTGAAAACGCCTCATCACCCACTAAAACGAACGGCATTGATTGGCCATTTTCTTTGATGGGGTTATTGCTCGGAATATCGAGATCATTATTTAAAAGCCTATGATAAAATACAGAGTCTTTGTAAATTGACGAATCACTGCATTTGCCGTATGCTCCAATATCTAAGTAAAGAAATTTATAATTTACATCACATATTGCAAGTAACACGATTGAAAAATAATTCTTGTAATTGTAATAAAGAGATCCCGAATGTTGTGGTTTGATAACTCTAATGTGCTTGCCGTCGATGGCTCCGATGCAATTAGGAAATTGGGCGTATTTTTTGAAAACCTTCAGCCGTTTGAATCCACTTATCTCTGGTCAATTGTGGCATCACAATTGGTTTTAATATCTCCCATATTGCTTCACAAACATCAAATACTATTTCCGATACTGTAGGAAGCCCTATACGGTATTCATGACTTATATGAGATAAAGAACACCCAGTAGCCAAATACCTGAAAATAAAATTCACATTAATAAACATAATATTAGTTTTGTAATATGTACTACATTTATTTATTGATTTACAGGCATTACTCTCCAAAAAGATGGAAAAACCTTAGAGACTGTTTCACAAGAGAGCTGCGCCGTCTTAAAGATGTCAAAAGTGGTTCTGCTGCAAAACGTAAATCACAATACACCTATTTCAACCAATTACTGTTTTTGAAATCAGTGCTGGACACAAACGCAACAGAAAATAGTCTCGAAGAGGCAAGTCAAGAAAATGAAAGTGCAAGATCTTCTGATCTTGAGACTCAACAGTCTGCATCAAAGTCGCTTAGAACAAAAAGGAAGAAAAAAATACCAAACGAAGAATCCGATACAGACCCTCTAATTTCAGTTCTGCATAAGACCATAGCGACTACACAGAATGATTCAAATTGTGACAGACTGTTTCTTTTATCCCTCCTCGAAAGATTTCAAACAATCCCTGCTGCAATGAAGACCAAAGCGAAAATGGAAATCATGGAAATTATAGAAAAATACCAACCGAACTGTACACCTACAAATCGACCGAGTTATTCAGGTTATTCTACTACCAACAGGATATCAGATGATTCAAATTACAGCGATACTCATACTCATTATTCTGATATTTCTCAAAATTCAGAAATGATAGACCTATTTCCCAATTTGAATGATTAATTGTTCACAATTGCCATTTTTTAAGTTATGAAAATACAAATAATTTGATTATCTACTTCAGTTTTTTAATATTTAAAAACATGTTATAAGCAAGCCCTTTTCCTCTCCTTTTCAAAGTCGTAAAGTAGAATACTACTGAACAATAGTTCATAAATTTTTTAAAGTGGCAAAACCTTGGTCAATGAATTATACAGGTTGTTGTGAAAAACGCAACAGTGGTGGTTTAGGGTGATTCAGAATCAAGTCTTGTATAATTCAAATTTACAAAAAAATCCGTTTAGCAGTTTAAGTAAAAAAAAGGCCCTATCACATTATTTTTATTTTTCCTGTACACAATACTCCATTCCGAAACATCCTTTAAAATATATCACGTATTTTTTAAACATTCTGTATTTAAAAAAAAAAAGCTTACCTTATTGTTATTACTAATTTTTCTTCTGCTGGAATGCATTTCCGATAGTTGTTACCAGTTCCAGTAATTTTTGGTTTTATTGTATCCAGTAACAGGTTAAAAGTATTCGTTGACATTCTCATGTAATTAAAGAATCTCTTCTCATACATTTTTAAATCCAAAAAATAAGTATAATATAATCCTTTAGTCTTTCTCTCGCAAAGTAATGGATGCACCCAAAACTGTCTTTTACGTGAAATCTTCCGTTTTCGTTTTCGTAGTAAATACACAAGCACAGTTAGCGTGATTATCTTCTGCACGTCCATCTTGACACATCCTTGGAAGTCGACTGCAAATTTTTCGGCCGTCCACATGTCGCGCTTGCCTACGCACCGGCGACCATGGCCGCGGCGGCCTGGCCGCGTCTATGGTCGCCAGTGCGTAGGCAGCCTAAGTCGAATTAGTTCGGTAATATACTATTTGTAAAGATTTATTTAATGGCGTAAAAGAACATTGAACTGCCTCAAAAATCGCTCAGTCGGACCGGAAAGACGGATGTCCGTCTTTCCGGTCCGAGGTGATACGGGTGGAATTTCGTATTCTGCCTCGATGTCCGATGATGAAACTAAGCTTTAAGCAGATTAATCCAAACAACTCCTCTGAACACTCTCCTTGTTAACTGCGGTAGAAGATGCAGAGTGAACCCACATCTCTACGCTAGGGGATCAAGCCACTCGGAAATAGATTGGCCGTCGACGATTCGAACCGCTCTTCATTGAAAATGATCTGTATTCCATTTAAATATGGACCATCCATGTTATATTAATTGTAGCATAATTTAAGTAAATGATTAATAAAATGATTGAATACGATTAAGTGGAAGGAGCTGGTACTGGGTCCAGAGGTGAGAACGTATGGAGTATACGTACGAGAAAATACATCCTCCCTGACGTACACGCAAACTGCCGTCCGCGGCACAAAGGAGTGTTCCAATTTTTGCCCCTTTTATCTATGATCTGAGTCTCGGTAAGGAAGAAAAAGGTGTATATTATAAACAATATAATTATAAATATACCTTATATAACACATTCTGTCACACGGTTTTAACTGTTTTAAGGATTGTGTTATATATATTTTTGAATCAAAAATTTGTTTTATTTCTAAAATTTCGGTATTGTTTTACTATTATTACACCTTCAGTAGGTACATGTGTTAAATACGCAGGTGTGCTGTTAACGTGCGAAATAGCTATTAGCATTTGCAATTGTCACTGATCAGGCCAGGCCAATTAGAGTCAAGAATCAGAACAGGGACGTATGTCTCCTATATTACATTGGAGTAATTTTTGAAGTCATACTTCTTTTGGCGCGTTAGGGAAAAGGATAAAAGTAAATTTTTACGATGCGCGCGCACTCCGTCACACAAAACCGACACCCTGAAGTTAGCTATAGTCAACAATTTAGTTTTTTGAAGTTATACTTCTTTTGGCGCGTTAGTAGAGACAATAATTTTAGACTACTTATCATCTGTTTCTTTGTTAATCAAAATATCAATTGAATTGAACGACTTCAAATGCTGCATTCGATCAGCAATTTGTCGTAAAATTGTCTATTCTAAATTTAATCAGGCGCAATGTCGAATATTTTGACTTATTAAAACATCATTGACCAGGCAAACAATTAAGTCCTTCGATTGGGGGCGATTGGGATCAAATGCACATCGAAGTGGCGTCTGGGTATATCTAATTCTGAATAACATCATGCACTGGTCACGTTTGAAAAAATTGCAACCAATTTAATGTAATGAAATTTTATTGGTATGGCGTCTGACTATTTAAATAATAAATAATGCACTTTGCATTAAAGCCACAATATCCACTTAATCATTATTTTTAATGTTTGTCTATCGCAAACTGGCCTCAAGTTACTAAAGCAATAGTTGCAATGATTGAAGCCGTCAATTGAATGCGTAATAGTAATTATCATTCTAAGGTTTGTGTTAAAGGTCGATTTACATCAAACGAACATAGAGCTAGAGCTAGAACAAGAGCATTCTTTCGTAATCTTTTAGTGTAAACGAAAGCTAGAGGTATCGATTTACATCAAACGAACATAGAGCTAGAGCTAGAACACAAGAACGCTTTGAAAAGACCGCTCAGTGGCGCGAGCACGTCCGAACACGCTAGAACGCTCTAAGCAACTGTTCGCGCGCTCTTGCGCCGTTTACATCAAGCGTACGAGCATTCTTAGAATATTCTATAGAATCTTTGCGAACGCACTAAGAACAACGAAAGAATGCTCTACGCCTGTTTACACTAGAAGAATTTGATGTAGTGGGGATAGAATGAGCATTCGCTCGTTTGATGTAAATCGACCTTTAAATATAACACTGAATATGTGTAAAATGAATTACAAATGGTGTGCACACCAAAAATATTCAGATATGTAATTGAAACCCCCCAAAATGATGTAGGTATATAAATATTCCAAAGAATGTCATGATGCTTCGAAAGTAGATGCAACGTTGGGCTCAGGACAAACATTACATTATATTATACAAAAACCTGATCCATGACGCAGTCGCGCATATTTAGTTATTTTAACCTTATGGGATTCTCTAAATTCTAGTAAATTTAACCAATTATTGTAAACAATAAGTCCATTTGCTCAAACCTAAAATGCTAACCTAACTTGATACACAATGTGAAAGTGTATCATTATTTAACCATCCTGTGATAAATTTTATTAAGTATATTTTATAAGGTTTTATCATACTTAGCATGTTTCAGAAAGTTTTCCAACTTGGCTATGTCACAATTTGAGATTTTGCCCCAATTTTTGCTTTCATTTGATGTTAAATCATTACCCTGGGATAATATCATATTACATAGAGTGAACACTATTAATGAATCGAAAGCTAAACTATCCATTAACGATCTTAAGAAACGTACCGAAGATATGATAGATGTTCAGTTCTCGGACTATATTAAAATTTACACTGATGGATCCAAAACAAGAGACGGCTCAGGTTGCGCGTTTTACGATGAAGCTACAGATTTTGGGGCCAAATTTCTTATTGAAAATCCAAGTATACCTGTAATGGGAGTTGAACTGACTGCAATTAATGAAGCAGTACATTACATAGAGTCGACACCATACCATAAAATTGTTATTTTTACAGACTCAAGGAGCAGTTTACAGCATTTGTTGGGATGTGCTAAGGACGGTAGTGTCGGTAGAAACGAAGCTTACCTTATTATTAAATGTATCCATAAATTGATACGTAACGGGGTTGAAGTTCGTCTACAGTGGATTCCTTCACATGTGGGTGTCAGAGGTAACGAGTTTGTGGACTCTCTTGCATCCAAAGCTCTACAGAACGGCATACCTCTCGACATCGTACCGCACTACATTGATCATCTCCCAAAAATTAAAAATGACAATTTTATGAAATTTAAATCTTATTTTAATGAATGCTCTCAGGACATAGGCATCTGGTACAGGACCATTGTGGACGAACCTCCACGCGAGCCTTGGTTTTACTCAAGACTTCTCAATAGAAATGATTTAGTTATTTGCTTCCGAACCACAACAAACAAGTTTAATTTTATTATGAAAAAAAGAGACGATCCAAATTGTACACGATGTGAGAGAGAAGAGGACCTCCTACATTTAGTTCTCGAGTGTAAAATAAACGAAAAAGCTAGGTTGGATTTCCTAAAGGAAACTCGATGTTCTACTGGCGACTTTCTCTTCTTTCTTCATCAAATATTAAGTTCAGGGTTCACTGCCGAATTTAGTGATAGATTTATTAGTTATATTATAGACTCATTGAACCTTAGATCTGAATACTATAAAAATGCTCGTTAACTAGTAAACTGTTAGATTAATACTTAAACCTTTGTCAACGTTTTTATATTTTTAAGCCGCCTTAATCATTAGATGTATGGCTTATAAAATAAATAAGATTTAAAAAAAAAAAAAGCATACTTAGCAGTTAGCACATTCATATTTCTAAGCTTTACAAGCATAAATACTACGTCATCGTCGATTCGACTAAAGTCCGTTTTGTGTCACGTGACTAGAACAACACTTTATTTTTCATACAATTATGTTAAATAACGTGGGATGTAAGTTGTAACTACAGACTTAGTTTCGTGGTTACTTTCGTGTTTATTTCTGTAGGTAATAAAATATAATCAGCGCATCTAATGTTTTTAATAGTCGCGACTGATTTGACCAGCGGTCTTCTTCCACATTCATTCTTTACGGCAATTTAATGATAAGAGATAAAAATAAGAGTAAAGGTAGGTAATTAATAACAATAATATGAGTGCCACTCTTTATTATTCTAGGTTTGGGTCAGGTTCTAAGACCAAGTTTTGGATAATATACCATTTGAAAAGAAGTATTTTTTGCTTTTACTGAATGTGCCCGTAAATAAAAATAAGATTAGGACTATGTCTCATAAACAAGGTAGAACGCAGGCGGCAGGACTGCCAAAAAAGAGGCGGGAATTGGGATTGTGAGTAGCATTTCCTCTGATCTACCCTGCCCGACCGAACCAAAAAATAAGAACGCGAGAACGGGCGAGCCGCATTCCTCGACTAGGTCGACGGCATGGCCCCGCGCGCCTCACTCCCTTCAGCGGCCAGCCAGTCATTCGAGCGCGTCGTTCGTGATAACTCGTCTGTTTTTGGTTCGGAATCCAATGCGTGCAGTGTTTACAATAGTGTTGCTTCTGATGTTATAAATCATACCAATACTAGTGACCTGTGACTGTGCAGATAATTATATGCTATTATACTGTTTGATTAATAAAAGTGGTGCCTAAGGAGAAGACAACTACGGCAATCTTTGAGCTCAGGTATAGCGTTTCGTACCTATATATTTTCAATCTGATTACTATTACACTTGCACATTGTCAGTGTAGTGTGAAAATAAAATACATATTTTGATTTTGTTTGTAGTACAGTTGTTACTATTAAGAGTGTAACCACGTGATCCGATAGCTTGCATGAATTGACTTTGAGGTTTAACAGTTAACACGTGGTTTGGTGTAAACAACAACTTACAACGCCCTTTTCATCAGCGCTAGAACGACGCACATCGTGCGATTGTAGCCCGTGATTAGCTGTATTTGGATTTTGAAATTTTAACTGCGTTATGCGTAGGTGTAATTTGAAATATCCAATGAATTAGTTTAAAAATGTATATATTCACATTATGTGTAGTTTTTCGTATAGTATTGAGATAATGGTTAACAACAATAGTAACTAAAACAAATAAAAAATGACACAGACTAAGACGCCGACATAGACGCATAATATTGAATTTGGAAGGCAGTTTCTTGGCGCTATAGAATTTAGATTACATTACCAAATGTATAATTTATAAGAAATAAGATCAACCGGTATTAAATAACTACATTTTATTTTTTGTAGTTTTATTTTTCATTTTGTTTATACCGCTGTCTCGTTTTGTCATAAAATTTGCAGATAAGGAGTTTTTATTATTGGTTGATAAGCTTTTCACGTATTTGTATCATGCCCTGACTTGAACAAGTGTTATGTCTTGCGTTGATCAATTTTTATTTCAAATTATACGATTATATGATAGGTAGAGTAAGATTTGAGAAGACATTGTCTGTATTAAATAACAGCACTAGTCATCACATCCGTTATCGTCAGAAGGTCAAACACGAGAGTAGCAAGATTATTATTCCTATATATAATATACTAATATTTAAAAATCTATCCTTGAACATTAAGCAAAAAAACATTAAATGGAAAAAGAAAATCACTGAATGTTTAGTCAATTTGAAAATTGATTAAAAACCAGAATATTGTGATAATTAATGGTGTTTTGGGTGTGATATGTCTACTGTGATCATTCATACACGTATCCACTTTATAAAAAAACATACAATTAATACTGCTTTTTTTTCTCTTTATGGCTCTAGCACGGTTTGTGCATTAGCCAGCGTCAAGTATAAAATAAATACTGTTAAAATATTATATAATAAGGCTGGACCAGAGATAATGCAAACTACGTTTGAACAATAAGTGTCGTATATATTCATAGCTATTATTTTTGTGCAGTTGCGATACTTATATATATATACCTATGAGATGTTACTTATCTATCAACTATGATGTCGAAATTTTTAAATTATCTGTAATTTTTAAGACGTCACAGTGAAATGAAACTTCAAGGTCTGTTTGTTTACTTTTACTATTTAATGGAAAATTTATATATCCTTTATTTTATAATAACATATTTGTATTATTACAAGTATAAAAGTAATGGGGGTAGAAATATTAATGTCGAACTATATACCTATTATGTTACAAAAATATGACTTTAGACCACTGCATTATTACAATATATGTAAATACAAATAAGTTCAATATCTTGACTACATTGTAAATTATGTACACAAAACAGTTACTTGTTAGCGATAAGAGTTCGTTCGTGTATTATGTACACCTTCAAGGCTTATCAAAACAATAATTATACCGATAAATATATAAAAAACATTTTACAGTTAATTTGGCTATTATTTTGCCTTTATACTAAGCAATAACGTTGTCTCTGTAACGAAAAAAAACTTAATATAAATAATGACATAGGAGACAAGGATATTGTGTTCTTAAAAGCGTTTGATTCTTATATCAGGACATGTTAGAACTTCCGGTAGAATTAAAAACAGGTAGTCTTATTTTTAACACGCTTTGTAATAATTATTATATTACTAACTAAATATTGTATAGTTTTTTAAGATTGTAATAAAATTGGTAGCCGTTTATCTAACAACATCTTATTATTAAAATGGCTGCAATGAGGTTATTCCGCGTGGTTCTCGTGAGTTGCGGATCTATTTACGGTTAAAAGGGTGTGGGGACTGGGGTGCAATGTTTTGGCTTAGGAAGTATGGCGCGCCGCCGCTCTGCGTCGGGTAACGCCCGCAGGTTGATCGATCGCGCTGCGTTGCGACTTGCGCTGTGCTATTATTTATTACCGAAAATATAGCAGCGTGGCGCGGCATCGGTCATCGACCTAACTCCGCCACGCTATGGCGCGTAAACAACAGGGAATGTAGCGCAGCGCGGGAAAGCTCCATTGTTGATCCTTCCTTACCTCATACCTGGCAACAGCGCATATAATTATTCCTACTCATGTTATACCGTGATCCAATAGTGTGTTATCTCTTTCACCCCAGGCTAACCGGTTACAACCACTGGAAGACAATTGCCACAACATGCTTTACAATCAACGTATTATCCACGTGTATTTTGTAAGTTACATAATAGTAGCAGCGTTGTGTAGTTTCGTACATGTAATTTATGTACATAATACGCTTCACTGTTAATAACCAGTTTATTTATTAAGACTATGAATAATTACCTTAACGATAACTAATTGTTGATAAATTGAATTCCAAATAATTTAAGCCCTATGTATGTATTGTATTGTTTATAACATAATTTAAATGAATAATATGATCAAAAGACGTTTCCGATGATCTTTCGAAATTATAAGCATATTTATGTCATTTTTCTAATCTAGTTTATAGGCGTTAGGCGTGACGCTGTAGGAATCTTGACAGGTACGCTATCGTAAATCAGGCGCCGTTCGGTCGGTAATCGTCATACTCATCATGACGTAAATTATAATTTTGCTATCGAATTGTCCAAACATTGTACTATCATAGTACAATGTTCGTACAGATAAAAATTCGGCGTATAAAATTTTCACAGATTTCAATACTCAGTCTATTGCTGGATATTAATACATCCAAATTACGCCATTTTCTTCAAGACAAGTTAATCGTGATACATTCTTCAGTTTACAGTTACAGTTAGAAAATTTCGTTATTAAAGTTGATAAATTAAGGTATCGCGAATAAATTTAATTACGTTCGATTTCACATGTTTATACACGTTTTGTTAGATAATAATCGTAAAAACATGTTTTGCACAAAGTGTTTGCTTAAAATAATATCAATACATTTCAATTCTCAAATAAAAAATTATGCAACTTCCCTATATAATGCAGTATTTTCTGTATTAAAACGAATTTTGCAAACTTTTGTACATAAAGTTCACTTAAGCATATTTACGCGTGAGAATCGTAAAGGCTCCTACGCTAATTACCTGAGACATTGCTGTTTGTGAATGAAGTCATCAATGAAACTTTGCTGTTGCAACGAGATGGCAAGTTAATTATGCTTTTAATGAACACAATTCTCACAATAGTGTTGCGTCACCGACCACAGTTAGAGGAAATGAGTTTCATGAGTTGTTACAAAATTTAATAAAAGATTATCTACATAAAAGATAATAAAAATAAAAATATCCATACTTAGAAATACAATGAATACAATAAAAGAGAAATCGATGGAAAACTATCGCATTATAATATATAATTATAATTGCAGTCAAAACCGTTTACGACGACATCGATTATATTAGTTTAGGACAACATACCGGTTATATTGACCAAAATCAAAGGTCCCGGCTGAATTCGACTATCGATTTTTACTATGTTTATATGAGTACTCCCTTCGATGTCGTTATAACAGTTTGACTGTAATTATTTGTTGCGCATAGCACCATCTTGACAAATGTTATTAATACTTACACAAAGTAAACCTAAACCTTTACGAACTATAATCATGCGTGACCTTAAAACGCCGAAAGCTTAATAAATAGGCGACGGCAGGCATTAACCGAGGGTTATTATTAGTAACTGTTTGAAACTGAAAATAGATTGCCAGTTAAATAGCTCTTACTCAAATACTCAGTCGACTTTTCGAACCTATGACTAATTGGATAAGGAATGCATTTATGAAAGCGACGTTGTTTCGA